GGCTGGGCTCCTCCGACAGTCATCGTCGCTGCTGCCGCATGCGGAGCTTCGGGCGTCCTCCCGTCCCATGCGGCCTGCGCTGGCCTGGGACGCCGGGGCATGGGCGGGTGCAGGCCGGGGCCCGGAGCGAGGCTGGGTGGTGGCGGGGAACCGGGGAGCGAACGCCGCTCCCGGTAGTGCCGGTCGGGGCTATCTCTGTGGCCGAGCTCTGTGCCTGGGATTGCCCTGTGCCGGGCCCCTGCCTGGGCTGGGCCGGGCTCTGTAACCGTGTCTGCCGTGTGCCAGGGGCAGGAGGATGGCGAGCGGCGGCACCAGCAGCTCCTGGAGGCGGTCAGTTCCCTCTCCGGACGGAGGCGGTGAGTGGCGGGGTGTATGAGGGGCTCCCGTGGCTCGGACCTGCGGCTCTTGCAGCAGGCACACTGCATTTCCTCCCCGTTGCCCCTGTTGGATTGCACAGGAGTGCTTTGAAAAAGGGGGCAAGTGCTTGGTTCCTTTTCCCACTGGCATCAGCTCCTCTGTCTCTGCCGTAGTGGCAGGTTGGAGGAGAAGCACACGAGGAGCACACAAGGAGCCTTTTGGTTTATTTTCTTTTCTTGCAGGCGGAAGCTGGCAGAGCGTACAGAAGCAAGCACACAGGTGTCAGAGTTTAATGTCAGCTGTAAAGGTGAGACCCCTGGGAGGCTGAGCAGAGCTCCTGCTGCCTGACTGGGACAGCGCTGCCCACCCACAGCTAATGGCTTGGGATTTGCTGTGTCTGCCCCAGATCTTTGGGCTGAATCCAGCCACAGCCCCTTGACTTGGTGATGCCACCCCTGTATTGACGTATGGGACCTTGTATAGGTGCTGGGGAGAAGCTGGTTCTGTCTGAGCTCCTGCAGCCCATCCGTCCCAAATCTGCCCTGAGCACTGTGAAGAAGGAGCTGACCAAAGTGAAACAGAAGAAGGCGGTGGAGCTGCCACTCAGCAAAGAGGAGGCAGAGCGGGTAAGTGGGTCAAGCAAGCAACAGAGGAAAGTTCTGGCCTTCTGGGGCAGTAACGTTTTGCCCCGAGTGCCCCTCTACTCCTCTCTGATGCTAACAGGCTTTTGTTGTTCTTTACGTTAACCTTTCCCTACTCATCCTTTTCTCTTCTTGCCCCTTCCTCCAGGTTGTGAGGGAAGCTGCCTATGTAAGGACCTCTAAAGACGTGGGCAGATGGCAGCAGGTGGTTTTGCAGAACCGACGGGCAGAGCAGCTGGTTTTCCCTCTGAAGCAGGAGATTGCTACTGTTGTCCCCCTGGAACAAGTGGTTTCAGCATGGAAGGTGGGCGCTGTCATGTGTCACGCAGCTCGCAGGGGTTGTCTGGGGCAGTTTGATGTCTTCTGGCTGCACTGAGAAGAGTGAGGAAGGCCCAACCTGTAGCTGAAGCTCTGGTCAGGTGCTTGCTGAGCTTGGGAAGATTCAAAGGGAAGTCTTTTGTGTCCCTTATACATAGATACGTAAGTGCTCTCTGGGAGAAGGTGGGTAAGGCATGAGCAGAGGGTTTGGAGCCTGCTCTGTCCCCTCTCCTCTTTTTACCCTTTCAGCCCTAGACATGCAGGCTGAGTCTGCCATTTCCCAGTCCCTGGATTGAGCCAGATACCTGCAAGTGGCCCTTGGCCACTTGTGTTGAGGCAGAAGCGGGGTTTGGTTAGCCAGAATCTGCACATCTGTAAATCTTCGTTACGAAAGAAAGATGCTTTTGGGTTTGAATGTGAGTTCCCATGGGGGTTGTGCTGCTGACTGGAGAGTTGCTGTTGTCCTCAAGAGCTCTCCCAGCTCTCCAGGTGCTCAGGTGAGAGGCAGCCCCTGCTGAGCTCCCGACATTCCTGGCACTTGTCTTGGTCTGCCCAAAGGTCCCTTTCCATTTTGGTGGGACGTGGTGTCACATGGCCTGGAACTTCTGTTGCATGCTTCTTGTCCAGTGCTACCTGGTCAGCACTGCTTGTCTCCTGCAAGCCTCTTTTTCTACCCTGGAAGGAATACTGCCCATTCCAACTTGGCATGGTGGCTGGGACAGCACCAAGGCAGGCCCATAGCGAACCTCAGGCTGTTGTGTGGGACTTGTGAGCAGGACTGTGACCCCAGCCCCCAGAAGGAGGGGGCCACACTTCTCTAGTCTCTTCTGTGGACCTGCTCGGGGGCACCAGGGAGGATGGGGATGTGTAGAGGAGGTTGGCTCTTGCAGTTCTCATCCTGGTCTTGCTGTGTCTGTTCTGCCCCAACAGGCCCGAACTCCCCTGGAGCAGGAGATCTTTGGACTGCTCCACAAGACGAAGCAGCCCATCACAGACCCACTCCTGACACCAGAGGAGACAGCCTCACTGCAGGCAATGAGCTTGGAGGAGGTGAGTGCTTTCCCCCCAGCCACATCCCAGCTCTGCAGGCCTCTTCCTTTGTGCTTGCCTCACTATGCGCTCCTTGGCAGGCCCGGCAGCGGCGAGCAGAGCTCCAAAAGGCTCGGGTTGTGCAGTCCTACTACGAAGCCAAGGCTCGGCGAGAGAAGAAGATCAAGAGCAAGAAGTGAGGCTCTGCCATTGCTGGGCTTGGTGCTGTGGGAGGGGGCTGGGTCCTGGCCTTGGCTCTGGAGCTGACCCTGCCCAGTGTATGGGTATGGCCAAAACATGGGGGAAGGCAGAGCAACCTTCCTTCCCAGGATTTGCAATGTGTCAGGCAGCCTCCCACCCACAGCAGTGCTGCGTTCCCCAAGGCCCTGCCCAGCACCATGAGGTCTCCACTGGCTCTCTGCCGTTGTGCTGCAGGTACCATCGTGTGCTGAAAAAAAGCAAGAGACGCAAGGCCTTAAAGGAGTTTGAGCTGCTGCATAAGTCGGACCCTGAGGCCGCCTTGGCAAAACTGGAGGAGCTGGAGCAGCTCAGGATGCAGGTGCTGCTCTTGCAATTCTCCCCCAGCCCTCAGGAAGTCCCTGCTCACGATGCTGCTCTTTCTGACGCTCCTCTCCTTCTCTTCCCCTCAGGAGCGGATGAGTCTTAAGCACCAGAACAAGGGAAAATGGGCCCGCTCCAGGGCCATTATGGCTAAGTATGACCTGGAGGTGAGATCACAGAATCATAGCATGGTTTGGGTTGGAAGGGATCTTAAAGATTACCTAGCTCCAACCCCCTACCACCATGGGCAGGGACACCTTCCACCAGACCAGGTCGCTTCAAGCCCCGTTCAACCTGACCTTGAACATTTCCAGGGAGGGGGTAGCCACAGCTTCTCTGGGCAACCTGTGCCAGTGTCTCACCACCCTCATCGTAAATAATTTCTTCTTCATATGTAACCTAAACCTACCCTTTTTTAGTTTAAAGCAGTTGCCCCTTGTCCTGTTGCTACAGGCCTTGGTATAAAATCTGTGTCTTATAAGCCCACTTTATATATTGAAAGGCCACAATAAGGTCTCCAGTGGTGGTTGAGGAAAGGGGGAGACAGCTGAGGTGGGGCAAGGAGAGTGGGCATGTTATTTCTGGCCTGCGTTGGAAACATCTCAGTCCCCTCCCAGGCCCGCAAGGCCATGCAGGAGCAGCTGGCCAGGAACAAGGAGCTAACGCAGAAGGTGCGGGTGGAGCTGCCTGAGGAGGAGCCAAGTGATGTGCCTGAGGAGGACCTCACGTCAGAGACCGTCCCCACCATCCCTGTGGGGGCCAGCGGAGCTAATCCCTGGATGCTGGGGAAGCCCAGCGGCCCAGCTGAGGAGCTCAAGGTGCAGGAGGGTCTTGAAAATGTTGCGGTGCCTGATGCTGTGGAGAGCAAGGAGGAGATGGAGAAAGATGATGATGAGGAGGATATGTCAGAGGAGGAAGCTCTGCTACAAGACTTTATGCAGAAACGGCAAGTGCGGCAGCAGCAGGCAAGGAGCCTTGAAGAACAAGGTGGGGAGCTCATAGCCCAGGAGAGTGTGTGTATGGTGTGCTGCAGGGTTGGGCAAAGGCAAGGGGGGTCATGGGAGCTGTTTTCTGCCCAATTCCACATAGCTGCCCTGTTTTCTCCCTCCCTGCTCATGGGTGACTGTTTCTCAACTGTTGCCTCAATGCGTAGGTGCTGATGAGACGGAGGCAGTTCCTGAGCTGCCAGGGGATGGCCCCATCCACCCCATCTCTGCCGAGGATCAGGCGAGTGTAGGGATCGAGCAGCCTCCCCAGGCCCAGGAGGAGATCCTGCTGTCGGAGCAGCTGGGCCGGGTGCAGACAATGGACGACGTTGATGCTCTGGCCTCAGAGGAGCGGGTGGAAGAGCAGGAGAAGCTAGTGGTTGCAACAGCAGAGAAGCCGGTGCCTGCAAGAGCAGAGAAGCGAGTGCAGCAGCAGGAGGAAGGCAGAGCTGGGGACAAGCGTGCCAAGAAACCAGCCAAGAAGAAGATCATTAGCCTGGAGGCTGTGCTGGCTGGGAAGCCCCAGCAGGTTCAGTGCCCCAGCCTGCCTGTGGTCGTGGAGGAGGAGGTGAGCAGGATGAGCCTTGCCCCTTGGTCCCAGGGTGACTGCAGGGGACTGACTTGTCTCTCTGCAGGAGGGTGGCATCGACCAAAGAGGGGTGATCACAGAGGCCTTTGCTGGGGATGACGTAGTCGCTGACTTCACCCGGGAGAAGCGCAAGGCAGAGGAGGCTGCGAAGCCACAGCCGGTGAACCTGGTGCTGCCAGGCTGGGGCGAGTGGGGAGGCACAGGATTGAAGCCCAGCGCCAGGAAAATAAAACGGTAAGTGTGGAAGAGCTGCGCAATGTGCCTCAGCCTGGCACTGGGGTCTGACGTCTCACTTGCCTGGCAGGTTCCTGCTCAAGCCGCCCCCTGCGCCTCCCCGGAAGGACCAGCACTTGCCCCACGTCATCATGAGCGAGCGGCGCAACATCCATGCAGCAGCGCATCAGGTGGGTGACACCCGGCCTCTGTGAGCAGCCAGGCTGGCCCAGAACCTTCATCACCCATTCCCAAAACTTCCTGAATCCCTGCCTGTAATCCCTGCCTGGCTGCTTCATTTCCAGCTTTGATAACCCAGAGGCCAGCAGGGTGATGGAGGGAGGAGGAATTTACAGGCTGGCTGCTGTGCCAGCCCTCCTGGGATCTGCTCGACAAGGGGATTTAGTGAGGTGGTCAGTGGGGCAGGGGACTGGAAGGACGGTGGGAGTGGGTGCCAGATGAGTGGGAATTGGTGGCAGCATGGGACAAAAGCAGCCCCCAGGGTGCTGGGGGTTACCCCACTGCACTGTTTCCCTACAGGTCAGCGAGCTGCCCTTCCCCTTTGAGAGGCACCAGCAGTTTGAGCAGAGCATCCGGACACCCGTGGGCGCCACGTGGAACACGCAGCGTGCCTTCCAGAAGCTGACCACCCCTCGCATCATTACCCGATCGGGCCACATCATCAAGCCCCTCTCTGCCGAGGATGTCCCCGACATGGCCACCACGGCTGGCACTGGAGCCAAGCCGGCGCTAGAAATTGTTCCCCAGCGACCAGAGCCACCCTTGTGCCGCCGGCGCAGGAGAGCGCGGTAGCTCTGCGCCCGCGTGTCCCTGCTGCTTGGACTGGTGCAGGAGCCAGGAGGGGCTCCTGGTTCTCTTCAGTACCTTCTCCCGCTTCCCCCTCCCCTACAATAAAACTCCTGGGCTGCCTTGTCTGTGCAGCCTGCGTGGCTGCCCGCACAGCGCCCCGGGGCCAGGACAGCTGGTGCCCTCCTGCCTGTCCTTGGGGCCCCGCGCGGGGCAGGGGCCTTTGGCCGGGTGTAGCGGGAACAGCTCGCGCAGGCCGGGCTGGGAGTGCAGCGCGGGGTGGGGGGAGCAGCCGCCAGTGCTCCCTGAGGGCTGGGTGGCACCTGCCTTATAGATTTTGTCTTTCATGCCCCCCTTTTTTTAAATATAGCATATACATATTTTTAATCTTGGTTAAAGGGGCTTTCTTGCAGCCCTGCTCTGAGCCTAGCCACCGGGTCCCGCTCCAGTTCTGCATACAGCTCCAAAGTAACTCCTGCCCAGCTCTAATAAACCAGATCACCTGGAAAACGGGCTGAGGCAGTGGTGCTGCTGTTCCGCACAGGCTGGGAGCTGGCTTTGCCCCCAGCGCAGCCACCCTGCCCTCTTCCTGCCCACCCCTCCCCTCATGCAGTGCTCAGTGCGTCCAGTGCTAGGGTGACAGTGCGGTGCTCAGTGCGTCCAGCGCTAGCGGAGAGACGTGCCAGAGACTTACAGCGGTGCCGGAGCGGGCAGGGATCTCCCCAGGCCTCTTGCCATGTGTGTTGTGCTCAGGCCAGCTGGAGAAACGCTCCCCAGCCAGAGCAAAGGAGCCAAAGCTGCCGCTGTTCCGGGGAAATGCGTCCCTCACACCAGTGATGCCTCCTCCCACAGCACCGCGGCCTCTCTGGGGGAGCGGCCAGGCTGGGTCCCCCGGCCCCTGCCGGTGCCCCGGGAGCGGGGCAGAGCTGCTGCGGTCACCCTTCTCCCCGGCAGCTGGGTTGTGCTGGGGAGGGAGGGGGTTGTGCGGTGGGGCTGGGGCACAGGTGCCTAGGGCGTTGAGAGCGGGTGCCCTGTGACTCCCCGATTCCCACCCCAAAACCACGCAGGGCTCTTCTGGCTGCCGGCGCTTCCTGGGGAGGTGGGGGCTGCCGCGGGTGTCAGCGCTGCCTGGGACGCGGGGCTGGGGGCTGCCAGCACCGTGACCTTGCCAGGGACCGGGCCTGCGGTCGCTGGCCCCCGCACAGCACCCTGGGGCAGCCAGATAGCGCTTGCCTGCAGATGGGGCGGCGGTTGTGTTGCATGAATTTACCCTGGGCTGACGGAAAAAAAAAAAAAAAAAAAAAAAAAAAAAAAAAAAAAAAAAAAAAGAAAGAAAAAAAAGAAAGGAAAGGAAGCGAAGAGCGTTTCCGTGCTGTGACGCTGGAGAGCCCCTTGCTGGGCTGGTGGCCCCAGCTCGGAGCCTGGCTTCCCTCCGTCCTGCCTGCCCCAAAAGCCGTGGGAAACCTTCACCTCCGGCGCTGGGGATGTCATGGGGGGTTTCTTGTTTGTTTTAGTAAAAGCCGAAGTGCCCTGGGGCCAGGGAAAGGCAGTGCCCGGTGTGGGGTGTGCGCAGCCCCTCTGCCTGCACCTCCACCTGCCCGCAGCCAGCCCTGAGCTCCCCAGCAGCCCCATTTTTCTAGGATCAGGCAGATTCCTGTGGCACCACTGCCTTGTCCCTCTCCATGGGGTTCCTCCCTCTCTTCCCTGGCTAGGCCCCCTGCCCTGAGACCCAGGGTTCTCCCTCCCTTGTTCCCAGCCCCAGGATGGTGCCTGGCTGGGCTCGATGGGTTGTCCCAGGACCCAGAACACATTCCCCAGCTCCCAGCACTGGGATGCTCAAAGAGTACCTGGACTGAGAAGGATCTTGGGGGTGCCTCAAGGCTCAGCACCAGTCAGAGCAGAGCTGGCTTCAGACTCAGAGCAGGGTCTTCACAGCAGTGTCCTGCTGTTTGCCTGCAAGGATGTGGAGTCCCACAGACCCCTGGCCTCTCTCCCCACATTCACCCCACCCCGTGGCAAAGGACTGTCTTGTGCTGTGTGCTGTGCCTGCTGTGGTGTGTGGTATCCCCTGCACCCCCGGGGAGGGGCTGCACAGCCCAGCGGGATCTGGCCCTGCTGCAGGCTGGGCTGGGAGCTCCTCACTGCCCCAGAGCAGGAGTGATGCTCCCCACCGGGGCTGGGGCGATGATGGCACCAGAGCAGTCCCTTCCTGCAGAAGATCCAGGCCACCGGGTCTGAAACCAGCTCTGGCCTTAGTGGAGCAGGAGGGTTTACAGCTGTCACCATGTGAAGCAGCAAGTGGGACCTGCCGGCACGTGGCCCCTCAGTTTGGAGCCTGCCTCACGCTGAATTTTGGCTGGTGGGTCCTGTGGCACGAGCGTGGCTGATGCTCAGCCAGCGTTGAGAGGGGACAGCTTCAATCCACAAGAGCTGGATGTGCCTCATCTTGTGAGAAAGGGCAGCACTGGGCTGGACTGAGCTTGAACTGGGGCTTTCAGTAGCCAGAGATGTTTCAAAAGTAAATGCAGAAAGCATCAGCATGAGCTCATGGGGATGAGTTAGAGGAAGGACCCAAATGCAGTGGGGCCACTGGCTGGCCCCTCAGGGCTGCTGGACCAGCTCACCCGCTCTGGCACAGGCTCCTCCAGAGCTGCTGTGCTCCCGCATCAAAGACAACAGTTGTTGCTTCGACTTCCCTGCAGAAATAAATTTGCTGGTCACAGGGATGTCAGCGCTTGGCTTTTTTTCTAATTAAGAGCCAATTCCAGGTCTGCAAACCACTGCAGGAAAGGGGGACACGGGGGATGCCCGCTGGCAGCTCCCAGGGCAGCAGGGAGAGGTAGGGAGAGGAGCTGCAGCTGGGTGGAGCCACTCACAGGGGGGCTGCTGCTCACTGCAGGGGAAGGGGGCCGGGGACCCCCGGGGGGCCCTGGCACAGAGGGGGTGCTGCTTCGGGGCTGGGGACCGGCTCCCTGCAGGGACTTTCCCGGCCTGATCCTCGCCCTTCCCACGGCACGCTCCAGCAGGGCCGGCCTCCGGCTGCCGCGCAAGGTGTGAGTCGGTGGGTACCGGGAGCTGCGGCGCCAGGAGAAAACCCCCCTCCTCGCCGTCCGCCATAACCCCTGCGGAGCCGCGGTGCGAGTGCGCACGCCTTCCCCCGGCCGCACGAGCGTGGCGTCCCTCGAGAGAGCTGCGAGCGGCTGCAGTTTGCTCTTACTGGCCTACTTTCTGGGCTACGTCAAAGCCGGGCTTACAGAGCCGGGAGCCTCGGCGAGGGCGGCCGAGCTGCTCCCGGTGCCAGCAGGGAGCGGTGGCTAATCCCGGCTGGGAGCGGTGGCTCCCGGCCTGGGCAGCCCAGCTTGGCCGGCACCCATGGGTGCTCGGCTGGTGGGGACCGGCGGCAGCTGTGGGCAGAGGGGCAGGGACGGGCAGCGCTGCCATGGGGCCGGGCTTCTCCCGGCGTGGCATGCCCAGGCTGGGTGCCATGCTGGGGAATTGGCGCAGCCACCGCCGGTGCCCCCCCGAGCTGCCCCGGGGCAAGGACCCACCCGGCCGGGGAGAGCCGAGAGCTGAGCCCAAGGGCCGCTCCAACTGCCGCGAAGCTGTTGGTGCAGCCGGGCTCCTGCACCCGCCATCCCGGGAGACCAGCGGGAGCTGAATGAAAGTAAAAGGCAGATTTAAAATCAACAAATAAAAGGCTTTTGGTATCTGGTTTTCTTTTTTTTTTATTGTTTGGTTTGGTTTTGTTTTTGGTTTTTGTTTTTGTTTTTTTTTTAATGCAGGCTATAAATAACCTGTAAAATATTTCGTCTGGGCTATTTCTGAGGGTGAAATCTCAGCCCTCCAGCTTCCCATGCTGCAGAACATGAGTGCAATCACCAGGACCATCACGGGGCGCCCCTGGCTGTCAGAGGTGTCTTGCACCCTTACTCACTGCGATCGGGGGATTTCTGTGTCCCTGAATGCCTCTGGCTCCCACAGCATAGGAAATGGTCCTCCCCAGCATAGGCCTGACTGAGCCCCAGGGTGGGAGAGCAGTGAGTCCCCCCAAAACCCAACACAGGTGGGAGGCTCTGCTTGGCACAGGGGAGGCAGATTTTGTGTTGGTATTTTAGGCACAGGAGTGCTACCTCCAGTTTCTGTGTCCCTCCAAACACTGTGCCGGGGACAGGGGTGGCCTCCACTCCATCCTCTGCTCCCCGAGGCCCCCTTCAGCCTTGGAGGTGAGTCTAACTCTGCTTCATCACCCCGCAACCAGGGGCACCCTGGGCACCCCCAACCCTCCTGCCGTGGGCACCTGGTGCCCGGCCAGCACATCCCGGCCTGCACAGCCACTGCAGCCGCGTTTCCGTGGAGATGGCATCTCCCGAGCCCGCACAGCCTGAGCGGGAGGGTTTCCATGGAGATGCCGTATCCAGCACAGCACAACCTGAGCAAGAGATTTCCGCCGAGATGCTGTAGCCGGGACCCTCGTACCCGCAGTGGGCCATTCCTGCAGAGATGGGTGGCCAGGGCCCACGGCAGCTCCCCGAGTGGCGTGTGGTGGCACCCAACAAATTCTCACCCCAAGTTCAGTGACAGGCACTGGGAGACGGGCAGCTGCTGGCTTTGAACAGTTGTTGGGGGTGGAGCAGTTGCCAGCCTTGTCACCTGTCTGGGGTTGGGACCGCGTCACTTTGGTTATGCTGTAGTGTGACATTCTGGGTGTCCTGGAGGTGACAGGTCCCTGTCTGTCCCCAGCTGTCTGGGGAAGAGGAAAGTCCCTGTATGTCTGTGATGAGTTTGTCCCAGCTGTCACCCTGCAACTCTCACAGTGATGTGCTGGGCACATAGGGGCCAGGGAGAGATGTCAGGGACACCGGGCCGGTAGCAGGGCAGCCTGCTTGCCCCCCACACCTGGGGAAACCAGGTAGCCAAGCCCCAAACCAGCAGCATCCCAAAGCTAGGGGATGCCTGGCTGGGCTCCGTCAGAGCCGCAGCACCAAAAACCTCCTGTGAGGGGAAATGAGGGTTCCTGGAGGGGCAGGTTTGAGGCAAAGCCGGTGGGGGGAGCAGAGGCTGTTCAGACAGACGTCCTCATGGCAGGCGGCTGCACGGTACGTGTACCCTGGCCGGCGCTACAAAAGCAGCCTTCGTTTAAACGCAGCTACCGCAGAGGTCGCAGTCATTCGTTCCGCACACAGCGAAATCCTGATTAAAAGCGAGCCCCAGCTGCAAAGACAAGGATCAAGAAGTGCGGAAGCACCGCTGGGACACACTCCTGCCCACTCTGTGCCTGTGGGAGACCCGGGGCCAGTTCAGCCCGTGCTGCCCCTCCCCGCCTCGGTCCCCTCTGTGGTCCCCGCTCCGCCGCCTCCGCTCCCTGCCCGACCTTCCTCCGGCTGCCCACGTCCTGCCCGGAGCCAAGGCCGGTCCTGAGCCTCAGCGGGGGCTTCCCTGCTCATGAGCGGCAGCAGCCAGGTCCTCCCTGCGTCCCCGTGGAGCGTGGCAGCCCTCACTCCTGTGCCTCAGCAGTGGGGGG